CCACGCCCAGGATGCGAACCGGTGAAATTCTGGGCCGCCGAAGCCGAGTGCATGAACTTAACCACTCGGCCATGGGGCCGGCCCCCTAGAACAGTAATTCTTAAACTGTGGTCCCAGACCAGAAGCATCAGCATCCTGGCACCTGGGAACTTGTTGGAAATGCAAATTTTCTGGCTCCATCCTCGACTTCCATTGAATCGGAAACTCCGGGCCCCAGCCGGTGTTTCACAAGTCCTCCGGGTGATTCTGACACTCCCTCAAGTCTGAGAACCACTATTCTAAAAGGATTTACGCTTTGCAGCTGCTGCCAAGTTTTTAGGGCCTTTGCTCTTGTGATGAGCCAGGAGGCAGACCTAAGGGGCTTGTGGCTGGAAATAAGGCTGGCTGGGCCCGGTGGCCTGGCACCTGAGAGCTACTCAATAAACATATACTCAATAAACTGAATAACTGGCACGCAGGGTTCACATCCCATTACCACGTCAAGAGGGGTCTGTCACTAGGATGACACCTTGGCTGGAGTGCAATGCCAGGATCCTCAGGGGTTCGGGCAGCCCGGAAGCCCCCTCAAGAGTAGAAGGGTGAAGTTTTACGTCTGCTTAAGTCTCAGGATGAACACAGACCACAAGAGGAGCTCACCGTGCTTCTGACCTTTGGAGTTTCAGCAGGAGGTATCAAGAGTTCAAAGTTACCACGGGGATAACTGGCTTATCTAGCAGTGTGCTGATAAACCAGCTCTCAGAGTAGAAAGCTCGGGCTGGCACCCTTTGCTGATTCCCATGGTGTAAATACTTCCACCATGGCCTGTGGATACGCACAGTTGGCTCTCTTGGCCAGATCCAGCACACCACTGGCCTTAGCAACTAGTTTAAATCTAAAAGCCTACTTGTTTTAAAAGTATACAGATAATGTATATGTTTGGGGAAAATCAAACAGCATAGAGGACTTCAAATGAGCAACCTCCTCATCACCTTCAATCCTCTCCCGAGAGGGACCGTCTGCAAGTTTCTGGCTTTGGTTCTGCCGTTGGTCCCTTCCATAGCTCCAAATGGTGAGCCTAAACCACACGTATTGGTCTACCATCCCAGCATCCACTGATGCTCTGGCTTGAAAGACTAGGATCCTAGCTCCTCTCTAGCACCTTCTACTCCCTGCCAAACTCACCCGCCTTGATTATTTTGACAATGCTTCGCAATTCTTCCGTTGGTTACCTTTACGTCTTTAAATAATAACAGCAGGCACTCATCTAGGGTTTATTCTTAGAACAGGGCCTGTTATACACGCTTTAGACATATTAGTGATTGGATCCACACAGCCAGCCGCTCTCTGAGGTAGCTTCCATTTTTGTTCCCTTTTTATAGATGAGAAAACTGAGGCATACAGAGGTTAGGCAACTTGCCCAAGCTAGTAAAAGGCAGAGAAGAGATTCAAACCCAGACAGAGTGGCTCTAGAGTGGGTGCTTTTAAACCTCTCAGAGAAAGGTCATGTAAAGTTCCTTGGGGTGTGAGGGGGCAGTTGCAGGGGGAATGGCCATCGGAATATAAATATATCTGCAAGCTGCAGCCTATTGCTTTTATCACCCTTACAGTAAGCAAGCGAAGGGAAGGACAATGTCTACACAAGCCTGCCTCTGCCCCATCGGGTAGAATGGGTGGGCTGGCTCAGGGCCCGGCCCACCATTAGGAATACGGCAGGCGGGAGATGCTAAAGGTCTGTGGTCCAAATTTGTATTTGCATATGAAGGCGCCAGGTAATTTCATGCAGATGTGTCTACTGCTGTGAGCTTTTCTTCCCACCCATTCATCCTGTTTAGTCCTTGGCGGCCCTTTCAAACTGGAAGGTCTGAATCTTTTTTCAGGTTTGGGAAACGGTCTTCTCTTATTTCTTTGATAATTTCTTTGCCTTTGTTTTCTCTCCTGGATGCTGGGCTTCATAGGTTGGTTCTCTGTCTCTATTTCTTTTTGGCTTATCTTCTGGAAGATTGGTTCACCTTTTTCTTCTAGCCCTTATATTACATATTTTATTCTAGCAATCATAGTTGTAATTTCCAAGAACCTCTCCTTTTCTTTCATTGTTTTTGGTTTATAGATGCAATCCATATCTTCTTGGATCACTCTAAAGTTACCAATTAGAATCACCTAGAGCTCCCTGAATTAGCTCCATTTCCTTTGGGGCCAGTTGTTCTAGTTTCTTATCTTTATTTTTCTACTTCCTAATTTTTCGGTTCTTTGAAGTCAGCTCACATTCAGCATTCATTTGTTCCAGCTATATTCACCAAGGTCCCACTCTGTGTCTCCGTGTGAGGTGCTGTGCCCGGCGCTGGGAACACAATGATGACAAGTCCCTGTGCTCACGGAGCTTTCTATTTCACAATAGACTCCATCATGATACAGCAGATTCCCCAAGCATCGGACCACCCTGTATTGTATGTTCCACGCTGTATTTAACATTTTGGTTTCTTGTCTGCCAGCCCCACTAGGCTGTGAGCAGGAACTCACATTTTATATATTTATCCCAAGGAGGTCCTTGGTAAAAGTTTGATATATCTTGGTTGAATGGAACTGAATTGAGTTTTGTGACTGTTGATATATTTACACACACACACACACAAACACACATACACCGATGCTGTAGAGGTGTGCCAGGGGCTTCTGGAAGGATGAGAGAGACCAGACCCAAATGGCATTCCTCTGGAAGGTTTTGCAGGGGCATTAGAATCAGAATCAACCCATTCCCACTCACCCATCCACTCACTTTCTAAATAAACACCAAGGCCACCATAGCCTCTTCTCTCTCTACCGGCTACAAGCTGTCCCTTTTGCCAGCAATGTCTCAGCATCCAACATCTGCCTCATAAAGCCTGACAACCTGCAGTTCTATAATCATGATCATTAAAGAGGGGGCCGAGGAATGCACTTACCAGGTGCTCTCTGGTGCCTCCTTTCCTCTTCCTGCTCTCCCAGAGTTGGAGGCCTCCTTCCAGAGGACAATGGGCCATGGGTCCAGAACCTCAATTCATTCATTTGTTCATTCATTCATTCAACCATTAATCCTTTATGAAGGACACTTTATATATTAGACTTAATGCTAGGCTCTGGAAACTTAAAAAAAGAGAGAGAGAGTGCCCTTCTTATAGGTTCTAGGAATTTATTGTCTAGGAGACTAAAGCATCTGACATTTTTCCAGGAGTGAGCGGCATGACCCCACTTTCCTTGCCTGTTCCCACCCTGTGCTTCCATCTCTGCTCCTGGGCCTGCCTCCATGTAAGGCTACTGCCTCCTTAAGTAGGTACTCAATAGATATGTGTTGGCTGAATGATTGAGTGAATGAGAAGCATTGCCTGGCATGGCAGGGATATGCCCAGCTTCTTCACCCTGAGGAGATTCCTTGCCAGTTCCCAAAGTATCATGGAATCCTAGTGAGGGTTTGAGACTCACAAGAAGCAGAGAGACCAAAACTCTCTGCAGCCTCCTACTTCCTAGCAGCACTCCCCCTGGGGAAGAGGCGACCCTCCTGGCCCAGGCGCCTGGCTGGGGAGGGTTAGACTCGTTAAAATCTGGATCAAAGAGAGCAGAGAAATGCAGAGTCTTATTAGCGAAGGGCCCAGACAGCCAGGCCACGGGGGTGGAGGTAAGGGCAAGAGTGGGTGAAGGGAAGCTCTAGAGGTGCAAGAAGTTGCTGCTAATAAGTTTCAGGGTTAAAGAAAGAAAAACACGTGTGACTCCGGGATGCTTGTTCCAAAGCTGGGCTGCAGTAAACCCAGAGGAGGAGGCCCAGGCTTCCTCGGCGGCATTCTGCCAGGTGTGGTCACAGAGCCAAACTGAGCTGTGAAGTCACTGGCCAATGACCAGTGACATTGGAATTTCCCGTTTTGCTGGCTTCCCCTGCCAGAAGCAACTGGCCCGTCCCTTCCTTGTCAGAGTAGAGGTTCTGCCCTTTGCTTTCGGTGGGCGTGGAGATGCCCTTGCTTGAGAAGTCAGCAGTCTTCTCTTATCCGTGCTCTTGCGCAGTCGGGTTGGGCTGGAGTCGTGGATGCCGAGTTCTGTGAGGTGGTCATGCTGCAGGCTGGGAGCTCAGGCCAGGAATCCAGAAGAGGGACCTTCTTCATGCAGGATGTATGAAAAGGCTGCAGGAAACTGCGGGCTGCAGAGAGCTCTGCGAGTGGTAGGCTGAATCAGAGGGCCAAGTGGGCCTGAGGAGCAGAAGCCTCGCCTCCCAGCTGCCCAGGGCAGCCCTTGGCAAGAACCCAGGCAGGCAGGGACAATGGGAGGAATGGAGAATGGGCAAAGCCCAGCTGTGGGGGGTGGGGGGGGTGGGGTCCAAGGTCAGGACTCCAGCTCTGCAGGCATCCAGGAACTACTTAAGATACAGGGGTTCTGTTTGTGAGGCTGAGGCTGTCGGGCCTGGGCACAGTGTGGCCTGGGCCTTGGGGCATGGCGGGGAGAAGGCCTGGTCCTGGGGTGGATAAGTGGCCTGGAGCAGGGGTCTGGGTGTGGAAGCCAGGACCTGAAGGCCCAGCTGTAACGGAGGTTACAAAGCTGTGTTATGGAAGGCCCCAGGAGTTGGGTAGGTTTCCTGGTTGAGAAGCTTGGAGGGGCCTGTTTGCAAAACATCTGGAGGATGTGTGTCGCTGTCCAGTCAAGCTGGAAAGCATCCCACGTGGCTCATGGGTCGGGGCGTAGCAGCACTGACCACAGGGGAGACACAGGGACACCCAGACTCTGTCCTTGCGGTGACAAGAGAATTGTCTTCAGGAAAAGAACAGTGAGTTGGAGTTCTTTCCATTTGCATGCTTTTCGTAATCCCTGAGAAATCGGCTTTTCCCCTTCCCTGGCTCCGTCCCTCCCTCCCCTACAGCCCCACCTGCCCAGACTGTAGGCTGCAGCGGCATCCCACCTGCCCTGGGCAGTAGCGGAGGCCATAGGGAAGAAAGAACATCTCCCGACGTCTTCCTGGTTGTGGCCCAGCCCGGCCTGCCAAGGCAGGCTCCACCCTGCGTGCGTGGTGTGGGGCAGCCCTCGTAGATATGTCTCTGCCTCCCTTTGTCTCCGACTGTATCCAAGGGCAGGAGGGGGCAGAGCCTACTTCCTCCACACTCTTGGAAACAACAAAGGACAAGGTCCTGACTCGGCTCTAGACACCCGCCCCCATGCTGAGTCTGTGAATGTGTATACGTAAGTGTGTGGTGTGTGTGTGATGTATGTGCACGACAGCATGTGAACAAGTGTGTGAGTGTGAGCCTGTGTGTACGTGTACGCATACTGTGCATGTGTGGTGGGTGTGAATGGGCTGTGCATGTTTGGTGGGTGCAAGTGTGTAAGGCAGTTCCCCAGCCTGCCGGGCTCTGTATTCCCCATGAGGGACCCTTTGAGTTGGTCCTGATGCTGTCCTGGGGCAGTGGTTGGTGGGATGGAGAGATCATGTTTCTAGAAGGTCCAGCATTAGGTTTCTGGAGCTCTTTCCCCAGTTTGCCAGAGAAAGAACCCTTTCTGGTTAAAAAGACTGATGGCTTCCAGCCTTTGTCTTCCCCGCTCTGGCCCCATCCCATGAGTGTGCAAGTGCCTGCCAGTGCACACAAGCACACATGTGGTCCCTGCATGGGGGACTCTGGGAGACTCCAAAGAGCTGACCCCAGGTGCACACGTCTCACTGTGGGCTTGGGCAGTTTCTGAGTCTGTGGATAAAGGAGACATTCTCATCCGCCGTGAAGATGCTGGACTTGGCCTTTGAGCCTTTGTCAGGAGCTTGGCTCTGATGGGGACACTGGTCAGTGGGTAGGGGGTTGCCTCAAACCAGAGGGCACTGTACGGTCCCCTCCAGAATCAAGCCCACTGCCGTAGTCACTGAGACCTCTGCTTCTCTCAGCCCCATGTGGGGTAGGTTTGGGCTCTGGAGGTGAGGAGGGCTGGCCCACAGATCCCCTGACCAGCTGTCCTTCTTTCTTCTCTTTATTTTCTAGCCAGAAGCTCACACACACCAGATTCTTAATGGGCCAGCATGGTTCAGGAAGGTGTTGAGTCTTGATGGACCCAAGAGCCAGGACTCTGGCAGGAGAACGGAATCCCTGATGGATTCAGACAGAGCAGTAGGATCCTGCTGGGAGTGGGTTTGCCTGGGTACCAAAGCAAACTTTTAACCAAGTAGGTCCCTGGGCCTCTGCTTGACCCCACTGACCCCATGTGGCAGAAGGTAAGAGCTCAGGCCCTGGAGTCACACTGATCTGAGTTCAATTCCTCATTCTACCACTCACCATGCTGTAAGACCTTGGACAAGTTACTTCATCCCTCTGAACCTCAGTTTCTTCATTTACAAAATGGGTGTAGCACTATTTACCTCACAAAAGTGTTGAGGAGTAGTCCATCTTGAGAAGGCTCTGACAGTTGGGTCATGGAGAAGACCAGTAACCAGTGATAACTGTGGCAGGAGGGGTCTGGGTGGGTAGACACTGACGGTTCTGCATCTAGGAGGCTCTAGAGAGCAGAATATTCACTGCATTCCCTCCATGCTCCCCCCCTAAACACACAGGCTGGGATGTCAGAGCTGGAAGGACCTCAGAGACCACTCAAGGTGGTCAACCAGCTTCTCAGAGGCCAGGCCGTGACTGGAGTCATGCCCTCCTGGCTTGGTAGGACTCATTCTGCCAAATACTCCAGTGATTAGAGCATGGCCATCAGCTCTAGAGTCCACCAAGTCTGCATTCAAATCCCTAGCTCTACCACTCAGTCACCTTGCCTCTCTAATCCTGTTCTTTCATCCCTAAAATGAGGATAATACTGATCCACACCTTGGAGTTGTGCTGGCCAATATGGTGGCCACTTACTATGTGTAGCATTTAACTATAATTAAAATTAAATAAAATTAAAATGAATAAAGTTCACGTTCTCAGTTGCACTGGCTGTGTTTCAGATGCTCAATAGCTGCATGTGGCTGGTGACCACTGTATTGGACAATGCAGACATAGAATATTTCCATCACTGCAGGAAGTTCTGTGGGGTAAGTGCTACCTTGGAGGGTTGTTGTGAAGACTAAATGAGGCAAGATAAAGTGTTTAACTCGAAGGTTTGCTCTGAAGGAAGGATGCCAGCTGTCACTGTTACTCTCAGAGCTTCCTGAGTCGTCCTCCTCCCAGCTAAGGGTAGCCTAAAGGCCAGGGCCTTCCTTGGGACCATGGCCATGGCTGCAGACTGAAAGCACCACAGGATGTGAGGATGGAAAAGTGACCAGCTACACATCCCCTTGAGCCACACTCTGAAATTGTTCAAGCTCTGTACTTTACCAACAAGGAAACTGAGGCCCAGAGAAATGAAGTGACTTCCCCAAAGTCACCTGACGGAACAGAGGCCAGAGTCCTGTTTCCTGACTCCTCACCCAATGATCCTTTCCACCTCCCCCGTTCAAGGGCGCTCAGAGCAGGCTGCATCAGAGTTGTCAGAGGGTTTCATAAAAACCAACATATCCAGGCCCCGCCTCAGATGTATGGAGCCAGAACTCACAGGGTGGGGCCTGGGGGTCTGCTTTCTTACCAAGAGATCCATATGCTTTTGATCTTTAGCTAGTTTGGAGGCACTAGGCCAAGAGACCAGGGTCTGACTTGCTCAGGCCTCTGGTGGAGTAAACATGGAAAGCTCATGGAACAGTGACCTTCCCACCCCTCACTGCCCCCTGAGCTGGTTTTCCCAGCATGCCCTTCTTTCCCCCCTCTAACACACATTGGAAATGCTCAGGGTACCTTGGGAAAGGGGAGCAAGTGAAGACCTTCAGCCTGTTCCCATCAGTCTCACCAAGGCAGCTGCTCTTGCCAAGGTGGCCCAGGCTGGAGCTGAGGAGACTGAGAAAGTGCTCAGGCCACAGCACCATGCTTGCTGAGGGACTGTTTTGGCCTAGGCACCTTGACTTTGCCTCAGGCAGGTTGGCGCATGAGGGAGCCAGTCACTTCAGCCCTGACTGCCAAGAGCGGCCCTGACAAGATGGCCGCTGGCCAGCCCTCAGTGTTGTTTGGCTCAGGGGAACTGCTTTCTCCAACAGGAAGCCTTTAATCTCCACAGTGGTAATCACGAGTTAAGAGGGACCAGCTTCCCACTTCAGGGAGTTCAGAGGGATTGTGCAACCCGGCGCTTTGCAAGGAGAGCCCCCTTTCATCTGAGCACGCCAAGTGTCTTGTTATCCTTGTGGCCTGGGAAGAGACAACGCTTGCCAGCGTCTGCCCCCTGTGTACGTGCGGCTTAGCTACGGCTCTGGGAAATGAGGAACAAAACAGGATTTGGGGGGGCTTTGGCTGGGAGTGGGTAGCTTGGTGGCCCGTTATCATCTTAGAGTGGATGCTTTCCAGAAAGTTTTTCCTGCTCTCCACAACTGGCTTCAGACACTGCCACGTTCCAGTGGAGAAACTCTCAAGAATGCGGATCCCCTTGGGATGAGGTAGAAACTGTGTCTCCTTTATCCTCCATTCAGGGCTTAATAGGTCTCATCAGGGTGCTCTTCGTGAGCACCAGCCCCCTGTCTCTTCCCCTAAAGAGCAGAGCCCAAGGGGCTTCTGCATCTGGCTGATGCTGAAGAGAGGGCAAGTCAAGTTCAGAGGACTCTGACACCCGCTCCCCAGAGAAACTGACGTGGAGGATGCCTATGTTGGTTAAATGCCCCCTCAAGGTACATTCACTCATTCACTCATTCATTCATTCATCTGTGCATTCATTCATTCCTCAGCACACCTTTACTGAGGGCTTCTTATATAGTGTTCTAGCCCCTGGGGAACATCAGTGGACAAAAGACACAGCCCTTGTTCTCAGGGAGCTTACATTCTTTGAGGGGGGAGGAGAGAGAAAATAAACAAGTTAATACATCATGTAATGGGAGTTACAGAAAAGGGCTACGGAAAGTTAAAGCAGAGTAAAGACAGGGAGGGGAAGGGCTCTTTCTGCTGGGGTGGTTGGGGAAACAGGCTCAAGAAGTGCTGACTTATTACACATTTTCCCTGGTGTTGGAAACATCCTGGACTCTCTCATTGTCCCCACCACTCAGAGTGTCTTAGAAATCAGAGGTGAAAATTGAGACCCCCCCCCCATTTGACCCCTCACTACCCTCTCTGTACACAACTTCCCCAAGAGTCAAATATTTCTATATCGAAATTTACCAACCACAAACCACAGAACTTTTTTGATGTGATAAAAATTGGCAGGTTGATGTTATATCTGTTACCTTTAAGGCCACTTTATTCAAGCCTTGGCTGACGGTAAATTCTGCTCACATCTCCATGGGCTTGGTCTCAGGAAAGTGTCCCCATTAGGCCACTCTCTTAACTTTCGCTCCCCTGAACTGACACCTTGGGATCAGCCCCACCAAGTCCCCCCCTTTTAGGAGGATGGAGGTTCCAAGGTGTAATTTGTGATAAGAGAAATTCTGCCTAGAGGCCAATACCAGGCCTTGTGATACCGGCGCCTCCCCACCCCCCAGACTGACAGGCGTTCAATCAGGGCACACAAGGCAAATCCTCTTCTGGAGAGGCACTGGGTGTGGTAGATCTAGAGGCAGAGATGTGGCTGGAGTTCCTGCCTCCGCCGGGACCTGGAGGCAGCACAGGCTTGGGAGTCAGGCAGACCCAGAATCAAGCCATAGCACCGGTACTTACTGGGGTACCTCAGTCCTTCTGAGCTTTGGTTTCCTCATCTGTAAAAAAGGATGTTTACCTATCTTTAAAAAACTGTGCAGAAGCCCCTGGCATATGTCAGACTCTTGATAAATGACATTGACTGTGGCTCCTTGGGCAGACGGCTGCATCTCTCTCAGCTTTGATCCTTCCTCTGTGAAAGCCAGATATCAATATATCATCCTCCTGGGGTTATTGTGAGATTGGGAGGAGATATGTAAAATTGCCTGTCACAGAGTCTGGGGCTCAACGATGTGTGTCTATTCGATACCAGGAGCTTGTCTCAGGGCGAGCCAGCAGGTAGATAGGAGCAGAAATACCTCCCAACAGCCCTCCACATTGCAGGGGATGGGCCCTCTTCCCCGGCCACTGGCTTAGTCAATGAAGAGAAAGTAGGGAGGGGAGGTGGGGGGAAGGACTTTCTGGATATTTTTGCTGATTTAAATTCTGGCTTCAGAATTGGAACTGACAACGTTGGTAACGCACCAGCTGTACAGATCACAT